TCAGCTTCCGATTCGCCTCTCATTTCATCACCGTATTTAGCACTTATAACCGACCCGTACTCATAATCTCGTTTCTTGTCAGCGCGGTCTCCTGCCGAGGCCGATGTGGTAGTCTTCGTGGTACCAAAGATCTCTTCAGAAGTAAGATAAGTGCTCGCCATTCTGTTATGACCCTTCTTGTATCCATCCACCTCATCAACACCTCGCTTGTGACCGCCTGTACCAGATCCTTTGAGCAGAGTTGACATACTGTTAGCGTCATCACCAAACCAGCTCCCATAACCATCGTTCAGACCGACCCATCCTGACGCTTCTAACGCCTTCAGTTTATTATCAAAATCTTCAACGGGAACACTAAAAATATCAGATAGAATTTATTTTATTCAAATGGGGTTGAAACCATTATTGTTTTTGCATTACGTTATTAACTGTAACCTAAGTATTGCCAAACTGTTATTTAGGATGTTCTGTTTGATTTTGCAGTCTGTATCGTTAGGGCGAGAACCAAGATAAGCTTGTTGCCATACAGAATATGTATTTAATCTACGTTTTATCATGTATTAACGCTTTACTATTAACCTTATCATCAGATAATTATATAATAGTCACGATCAATACTATGTTAGTAAATAGTCTTGTCATCTTATAAATCGAGAATAATGTGATGCTATGAAACCATTGAAGCGGTTCAATAACCCCATCACCACTCTGCAACATCCATTACAGTAGAGAATACAAGATCAATGTAATGTCTTAATTATAATCAATAAGCACTCTATAATGTCGCTGACACAATGATGGATGTAAGGTGAAGCTTTTGTAAGACGAACTGAAGGAACTTTACATATGACTAAGTCTAGCCTATCAACTGAGGTTTCCAACAGTCATAGATTCCAGGCTTAATGGACTGTCTAAGTAGTACGGTATCAATATAAGAAATATGAATGTATTGTGTATGTACTATAATGGTATCCCTTTAAGGTAATCAAACTGTCGAATGCCATAAATGAATCCTCAAATAGGTCTTGCCTGTGGTCTCATCACTTCCCAGATATGGTGAAGCAATTAAACAGTTAACGCTAGGTTCCAAACCTTTAGATCTTTTCTTTTCGTTTCAAAGGTACTGCATTTGATCTGACACTCCTAGGGATATTAGTGTCCCAGTTTAGGAACCAGTTGGTAAAATTGTATAACATTGGTCATATTTTCAAAGTAGAACAACAGGTTACTGGTCAGTCGATTTATATTGGTCAATCGGCCATTCTTCTGACCAAGTTTTATAAACCTACTAAAATATATGTTATGTCATGGGAACTTACCCTCTAAAACTTTCAACCCAGGCCCTCGGCAATTTGATGTCTCTGTAAATTGAAAAATAAGATTTGAAAAACTTGTGTAACCCGTTCTACAAGTTTTATAGATCTTGTGATTTGGTAATGACAAAGGTAATACAGGATGGTTGAAGAACGTCTGATTGATATCATGCACT